GGGGTGAAGTGAATTAGAAGTGGGGGGGTCAGTCGCGCGAAGTGGAGGCTGATCAGTCACACTTGCACTCATAGCGGCTGCTACCGTCTTCATCCGAATAGAACGCCCGGTCGTCATCGCTGCATCTGGACTGAAAGTTGGGCCAAATGCAGCTATAATGACCTGGCATTCTATTGGGGTGAATACGGTAGTCATGTCTGGTGGCTGCACCTCGTGTCTGGTGCACACACAGTCCTGCCGCACTGTAAAAAAGCATCGCCACATCATGGACAGCTGAGTCAGTATGCTACTATGCACTGTACCTGGCTCGCGTGTATTGGGAGTGACGACTTCGTTCTGTACGGTTACGAGCATGGCAATGTACGGTTGCGTGCATGGCGGCAGAGCAGATCTCTGTCTTCTGCTGAGGTCCGTCTCTTCGGGGACAGACGAGCCCTCTGTCTGGTAGGTGGCGGTGGAGATGAGGTACATCTGCGTCGATCAGGCATCTGCAATGGCTGATCGATCAGGCATCTGCAATGGCTGATCTGAACATGGATGTGAGGATGATGAAGACAATAAATGACCGGGGGGGATGGAAGAGAGGAGGAGGAGGAGGAGGAGGAGGAGGAGGAGGTCGAAGCAGGGAAAGTACGAGATGGAGAGGGGGGCTGATGTTGTTGAGCATGCTGCTGAAAGGGGTGGTGGTGGTGGGGCGGGGGGGAGGGGGGGAGGGGGGGGGGAGTTGCCGAGGATGTGTAGGGGGGGGTAGTGGAGAGCGGGGGGCAAACGATTAGTCCTGTACTCAGCTCGACTTTAGTAGAGTCCTTCTTTCTTGCAGGCCACCTGTATGGCTTGGCCTGCAGTCGCTCTTCAGTCTTTCAGGGGCACACGTTCAGCGGAGGAATCCGATGCGGGCTATTATCCCTTGCCACCATTTCGACCTCATCGATGAACTTCATCAGCGGGATATCTGCGCAGCTCAAGCATTTTGTCTGCTTATTGCGAGGAGGCACACTGCCAGTTCATCAAGGAAGTTCATCAGCGGGATATCTGCGCAGCTCAAGCATTTTGTCTGCTTATTGGGAGGAGGCACACTGTCAGTTCATCGATGAAGTTCATCAGCGGGATATCTGCGCAGCTCAAGCATATGCATCCGCATATGAGGGCATTGATGACGTGTCCTACAGGGGATGCATGCACGATAGAGACAGAGCATGATGAGGGCGCACACTGTGGGTGAGTAGGGGAATGGGGGCAGAGGGAAGGAGAGACATGTACCTGGTGTATGCAGGCAGTCTGCACTTGGCGACGTCGTCACGTACATTGGACCTCAGCTTGAACTGATCCTGTTGCATGAACGTAGTCTATAGGCTAGAGTAGGTGCTGAGTAGGATAGGCTGGGCGCTGAGCGCCAATCAAGAAGAGCGACATTGGATAGTATGTTCGTGTGGCGAGAGAGTGTCGATGTCGACATTTGAGTTCATTCTATATTGCTCTTATTTGGCTTCTATCTCAGGGCATTGTGCTTTCTGCTTGGTACACGGCTATCTGATCTTCTGTGCGATATTGCAATTCGGTTTTCTTTTCTGTCTCTCTCTCTCTCTCTCTCTCTCTCTCTCTCTCTCTCTCTCTCTCTCTCTCTCTCTCTCTCTCTCTCTCTCTCTCTCTCTTGCTCTTTTTCCTTGTATATCTATAGTTATCTATCTTAGTCTGTATTTCTACAATCACCCATAACCATTTTGATGTTTTGATTTTTTAATATACCACCTCCTTATGGACCTGGCTCCATAGTAGTCCATATCCATTCTGGACATCTGGGGAGCATAGGGTCCGGTTCCTTTTTCCCCGGCAAGTTGTTGAAAATACATTGAGAGAACACCCATGCTTTCTCCCATCCCATTTGCCCAAAGCAACCCTGATCAGCATTGATTCCTCCAATCATCATGTAACATGAAGGATTGACTGTTAGTGTGCCTTTCTTTTAGAAATCCTCTCAGTTCGGGAGTGCCGAATTTGTTGGACCTTTTTTTTTTTTTCACTATTATTTATTTTTGAAAATAAAAATAAAAGATTCTAAGAGCTACTCCAAGTTCACAGACTCTTGTCAGATGATGCATCATCTGCTCTTTTTTTTTTCTTCTTTTTTCTTTTTTTTTCTCTGCATCATCTGCTTTTCATGCATTGATGATTGAACTATTTATTTTCCTCATTTCTGTTTGTCCTCCATTGTTGAGAGATCAGAAGCAAGGTCCCACTGGCAAAGGTAATCGGATCAAGTGCAAGCGCCCGAATCTGGACATGTTTTTTCTTGGAGATGCAGAAAGGCAGATCACTTCAGTTTTTGTGCACCTCTCCACAAACACGTCCCAATTCAGGCGCTAAATCGAATCCTATTTGCTAGCGGGACCTCGCTCCAGCTGTGGTGCTCTTCCCAGATACCAAAGCGAAGTACCTTTTTACATATATATTATATATATATATATATATACATGCACAACATCGCCACTTGGCCAGGGATCAGCGGCCTGCTTCTTTGTCTACCCCAATTCTCTCTGTGCCTCCT